TTTGAAATTTTCATCTGGAGAATCAGTCAATCCCCTAAAGATACTAGTGTTACATTTTAGTACAATTTTTATACGTACAAAGCTCATATGTTATAAAATACACGAAGGGAAAAATTTCAGGATCTGGTGAGGAAGAATTGTAAAAGTTTGTAAACTAGTCAATTGAATTAGCCTCTTTCTGCAAAATGAAGATTTCATTGATTCATTAATTTTGAAATCTTTCTGTATGCATTTCGCAGGGCAAATGAGACACAGGCAGAAAAGTCGAGGCTCTAATTTCGACGATAAAATCGCATAAGTTTACATATCAAACCTCTCAATTAGCTTTCTTTCCAAATAATAGTTTAATTAATTTATGGACAGTGAAATTCTAGCGTCGCGTAGCGGCGAACAGGTGGAACTAAAAATCTATCGCTATCCTTGTTGCACGTTCTTTGTCCGTCCTTGTCGCACACTATTATGCTCCTTTTCTAATGTAGCGACATTTGTTTTTCAACCATCTCGTCGAAGAGTTCATTTTAAATAAATTTACAGCGCCAAACTATAAAATAAGAAACTATGTAAAAATCAATATTTTAACAAAATTACTATGGAAATGTTTGTAAATAATTGTCAAGGATACTTAACAAATTAACGAAGGTATAAATAAGAATTGTAAAAAAGATAATTTAGATAGAACATTGAATATTGTACATTGTACATTCTAAAGTCTAAAGTTATTATTAATTAAAAGTGTATAAATAATTAATTAATTAATTTTTATTGTTCAACTAAATGTTGCTAAATAATAGTTATTAAAAATATTAACAACAACAAAGTGTATAATTTGCGAATTTATAATTTATCGATCATCGTACCGACAGACAGTGAAATTCTAGCGTCGCGTAGCGGCGAACAGCTGGAACTAAAAATCTATCGCTATCCTTGTCGTACGTTCTTTGTCCGTCCTTGTCGCACATTATTGTGCTCCTTTTCTAGCGGGACTGGTGCTGCCATCTGCCGAATTTTTCCATTTTGCACTTTTAGTTCCAGCCGAAGTTTACAGGCCCTCAGATGGCAACACTATCGATAGACAAGGAGAGCGATAGTGAACGACAAGGACAGACTTACGCCAACACCGTTGTTAACCATTGTCACATCCCATTATTACACAGGCACAATACAACGAATTTATTATCCAGAATTTTTGTTATATCGAAGTAATTTATAGCGTTTTTAATACGTAACATAAAGTACAGATTCCCAGAGAGATTTTATAATTACATAAGATCGAATTTACGATGTGATGATTTACAGTACATCTTGTAATTTACTTACATATCTAACATCTTAACTCTATCATGCTAATAATATATCTCATAATTTTTATATGTATAGCATTTATTTGCAAAACTGTGTAATATATATATATATATATAATATAATTTCAATATATATATATATTATATATTTTATATATATAATTTTAATATATATATATATATATATAT